CCCCAAAACCCCAAAACCCCAAAACCCCAGTATTTAATTTCATATTGACTCTAATTAATAACTTAAAATTGTCCAAAATAATTATAAAAGATTCTTTAGAGCATATAAAACCGACTTCAGCTACTGTTCTGGAAAATTTAGCCATGGTCAAACTGTTAATTTGTTAACTGAGTTATGCTAAATAAATTTCACGTTGGTCATATTGGCTTTATTAAAGCTAATTGCCAACCAAATCTTCAATTAATTATTAGCTCTTGAGCTTTTCATTGTGTTTTTCTGTACTTCAGTCCTTTCTATTTTATTTCTAGTTGCAAAGAATATCAGATCTAAGAACATTAGCACTGATACATAAATTTGAGATCTTCGACTGAGATTTGTAGCTTGGATCTAAGTATAAATTCTAAATTTGATAATGTAACTACTTGAAAGGAATTTTAATTTAAATCATTAGCTCCATTACGAGAAAGAGTCAAAATAAGTGAATTAAGCTGAGTTGAATTAAAAAACTGTGCATTCTATAAGTGGGAGTACTACTTCACTTTATTGCACGCCTGGCATCTTTAATCACTAATTGTTACATTTCAAACTCAAAAAAACTCATTTAATATCTAATCTGCTGTGATTTTTTTTGAATAATGCTTATGCATGATTGTGAAAGGATAACATTTAAATATTAGATTTAAATAAAATACTGTCTTAAGATAGAATTTATCATAAATTTCATGAAGACTATGTTCTTCTTTAAAAATTAGAATTCTCATAACTCTGAAGACAATTTTAAATACTCCTCATTCTAGACTGAGCATACAAAAGATTTTGGGAGCTTGGTATAGTTGAGTTTGAAGTTTCTCCTTAAAGAGTTTAAAGGACACTAAAATTTTGTCAAATTATAAGAATCAGTAGGTAGACATGACAAATCAAACAGAATTTTAACTCTTGACTCTATGACCCAACATGAAACAGAAATCCGTTAAAATGGTGAATGATTGAATAAGAATGTTAGTAAACCCAAAAGACGAGTTAATGTTGTTAAATTTCACGAATCATCGATATGCCATCTAAGCTCACAGACTAAACTCATAATTAGAATTTCTCACAAAAACTACATGGTTGGAATTAGTATCGATAATATTTCGATCTACTCATTATTTTTCCAAGTCTTTCTGTTGCTTGTGTTCAACTTCTTATGCTGTCTAAACATATCTCTGTAAGTCTTACCATAAAAATGAGTTTGAAGTCTGCATTGACTCTCTAATACTGACCACTCCTTTCATATAGCTATCACATTTTAGAGGTATTTTAACCTTATATCCATTAGTTGAATTAATTTCTACAGAATAAAAACCTGTCTTACGAATATTTCTCTTATTCGAATTAACTTCTTTTAGTCCTCTATCAGCTTTAAAGCCGTTTTCAGTATTGTCTCATCTTTCTCTTGAAGCTTTTTGGCTTCTATATTGAAACAAATTCTGAGTTTTCTGCATTTTATTTCTGGTTTCGTTTAGTCTGGTAATCAATACATGAAGCTGAAAACCTTTTTCCAATGAATGCCCCTGTCTTAAGATTATCAGGAGATTTACGAATATCTTCCGATCTCTCTGTCATTTGAGTGGGAGGATGCTTATCTCCAAGGATATCTCTGAAAGAGGATTCAAAATTTTGCAAGCTCTTTCTAATCAACTCTTGATTGCTCTTTTTAATGTCATTCATATTTATAGCTCTGTTAATGACTTTCTCAGGACTGTCACTGACCGGCTGGGCTTTGCCGTTCAGATTTGATTGGCTTCTGCTCTTCAAATCATCTATAAAATCTAGGAAGAGGCTTACAGCTTAGGTTCTTATCCAAAGTGTCATCCATATGTTTAGTCTCAGTAACATAATTATCATATGTGGTCTCTCACCTCTCCTTCTTATAAGGTGAAGTCTGACTAATCATTGAGTTGTTGAGGTAACTTGTGTTAGTAGATGTCTTATTAGAATTTAAACTTTTCAAGTCAATCTTGGTCCTTGCTGCTCACTTTAACTTGCTTTTCTTCATTTTGTTGTTCTTTTTCAAGAAGGATAGAATATTGCTCTTTTCACGATGAGTTCTTTGCTCTAGAGATTTTAAATCAATTTAGTACCTGAATTCTTGTGAACCTTAAATGTGCTATCAGTTGTTTTAGACTCTTTGGAGATACTCTTTTGAGGCTCCACTAAATTTTTGGGTGGACTCGCTTTCAAGCTTCCTTGATTCTGAGTCCTATCGAAAGTAGACAGTTGAGGATTCATTCCAGACTTATTTTCATAGAAAGCTGCGACTGAATATCATTTGTTTAAATTTCTGGGAGGGTTTGATGTCCTATAATTTCTTCCTATCTTGATCCCATTACTGCAATTATTGGGGTATGGTTTCTTCTTGTCGCTTTCTGGCAGATTAAATAAATTAACCAACTCAGAAATCACCTTCTGCTTATCAAAAGTAAGCTGGAAAGTTGGAACAGTCATATCTACATTCTTTGAAGTTTGAACTAACTTCTGCACAGGGTTATGTTTGCTCGTAAACCACTTGATAAAGTCTATTTCGGAGTAGGCTTTCAAAGACTGATCGATAGACTTAATTATCTTTACAGAAGAAAGTGAACTCTCGAGCTGGTTAATCTTATCAATATACTCATTATTATATTGTTCATACTCTTGGGTGAGATTCTCCAGCGCTTTCTTCTGTTTTTCTCTGGTATGGTCAATGATTTTCTCAAAAGATTTGCTAAGATCTTGAGCAAGAAATTCTTTTTCTCTCAAAAGTTGTTTTATTGACATATTGATGACTGTTTTGGCATCTTGGATTGGAGCAACCTTTGACTTAACCTTTTGGATATTCTGAGCTCATTCTATCATTAGCTGGCTGTAAGCTTTCTTAATGTTCAGTAAATTATGAGTTTTATGATCTTCATTTAAGATTCACGAAATACATAATAAAGAGTTATGTTCTTGACAAAAACTTCAATTTTCTTGTTGTGTTTTGGGCAAGCTTCTTGAGTATTCTTTGCTAGGCTATTTCAACTCGAGTGTTCTTCCAACTTCATAAGATGCTTTCATCCCAACAAACTTTGAGGTTACTTTCTTATCCTTGCAGTCTAATATATTAACGTAGTTGAAAAACTTAAAAATATATACGTTAGCAAGCAAACCAACTCATTCAAATTTTAAATAAAAGCAAGCATAGAGACTGACCTTTATTTTGGCCCAGATCGCCTATGACTCTCTGAGTTTTGACACTAAAAGAGGCTACTTCACTGACTTTCTTAGATGAGCTTCAAGCCTTATTTTTACGTTGAATATTCATTTTGAATTTTTATTATTACTTAACAGTCAACTTTTTCACAAATTTATGGGGTTTTGGGGTTTTGGGGTTTTGGGGTTTTGGGG